ACGAAATCGGGTAATTAAAACTTTCGCGTGGGTTAGCCAGTTCATATCCTAGTACGTACAAATCTTCCATTTTTAATGTATTCTCAGTATCTTTTGTTTTCAATAAAATTTTATCGATTTTAAGAATTTTGTTATCGTTTAATTGAACTACATTGTCGGGATGGACACATTTCAATACGAAATTATTAATGTTGATACTAGAAACAATAATGTATTCTTCATCTTTATAAATGTATGTGTTAGATCTTTGGAAAACACAATTATCTAAATATCATTTCTTTTGTATTCTAAATGTATCCCGTGACTCTAATTCAGATAATCTATTAATAATTTGTACCAGAGGTTTGTTAGGCGATTTTACAAGCTTTTTAAAGATACTTATGTAACTTTCACCCCAAAACGCGGACAACTCGCTTAATGGTACTTTAAAATTTATTACATTGTCAGCTAAATAAATCAAATAATACATATTTAATACTTGCGAATCTTCTCCGTATAGAAATGATAATAAATAAAAAAATTTTCTTAATAAATTTTTAGCATAATCACAATATGATAACGTTACGTTCTGTTTGTTAAGAATACGACAAGCTACAAATAAGAGTAAAAAATATCTGTAAAAATCGTGTTGGAAGTACATTATCCCACGTAGAAATTGCCAAGGTTATTTAACTTAAACTAAAAAATCTAAATTGAGTTGCTTTCCAATTAATAATATCCATGAGATCAAATTTTTTTCTTTGAAATTCCATTGGAATATCACGTGAAATTGAGTTTAATAAATTTTGCAGAAGTGTAATATTATGTAAACAAATTCTATGATGTCGATCACCATGAAGAAATTCTTGCAATAAATATTTTGAAACGCCTAAACAGAGAAGATGCATAGGATCTAATACCACTGATTTAATAATATCTAATCCTATAATGTTCAATAAGGGTGATGTTTCTTTCGTAGAATGATGCTCCGATTGTCGTTTATTCTGAAAGATTCATTCGTGCGTTCCGCTATAATTTATACCTTTATATACCCTTTTTTCTTGTTATCGTTTTTCCTTTTATTTCG